GACACGCATAGGTCCCAGGTTCGATTCCCGGGCAGAGAAAAATATTTGAATGGCCCACATTTGTTTTTTTTTCGAGAGTTTGGGTGTAATTTGTTGTTGTCTATGTGTGTGTCCGTGGCACTCGCGCCACCGGGTTTCCCTAGTGCGGGGCTATGTTGAGTGTGTGCATTATTATATTTATATTGTATTCTATATATATTAATATTTGCTCCTGGATACTAACTTGACCTACTCCTGCTGACACCCCTAAAATCGTAACCACCCTCTGCACCAAAGCAGTTTGTTGGCTGTCTGGGCCATCACCAGTACCCTCAGCATGTCGTTGAGAGGCCTTATAATTATATATTTTAGCTTTTTGTTTTCCAGTCCACTCATATTTAAATTAATGCAGTTAGTTAAAAACGTTCATGATAGTGATAAAACCCATTCATGATATATAAATGTAAAATCAAAGAGGTGGGCTAGCTTACTTTATCCCATTTATCGGATGACTTTTCGACACCGCCATGCATAGATCGCCACAGTCGATCACTTCTCAAGCGACATTGAGCTTCCGACTGGAGCTTCAACAGGTCGCCGTGCCTGTAACATACACGGTCTTAATTTCTTTTGCTTAGGTTGTACTATATCACGTCATTGTTTACGTTACATCAGTCTCAAGTGGTAATTGCATTTTAATAAGTTTGGATGAAAAAAATATGATTCCTATATTGAGTATCTTTCCATAAATTCTACAAGTCCTGAGGATTGCTCCAGACTAGCTCGCAACCTCGGTTCCATTGCTAAAAAGATGAAGAAAATATTTCTAAAGTTGGAATGTAACATCACAATAAACTTTGCAAGATCTTACATGAATTATGGGTGACAAAAGTATATCACAGAAGAACTAAATATAATGTTTCTGCAGATACTTACCTTTAAAATACCTTTCAAATTACTTTTCACGTTTAAAACTACTTTATTCCACTTCAATGCCGCGCGTTTTGTTACGAACATCGACCACTTGTCAAATTCAAAGTGAGGTTTACCGTCGAAACCGTAGACTATATTTTGATTTTTAACGAATTATCGAATAGAATGAGCGATTATCAGGCTCTTGTAGACTGACGATTGTCAGGCTCTTGTAACTTTGGCTACCAATCTACTATCGTTTTCGTTTAATCATTAACGATTGCTACAATCGTTAATGGAATAGATTGGGAGCGATTGCCACTTGGCTAGACCCTCTGATTACGCGCGATTTTACTTTTATCACTCTGAATGTGTAAAGGGGGCTATCACATGTGGCTTTAGCAGATTTTTTGTATATTATTTTTTTGTTAA